ATGTTTGAGAAAATAAGTAGTTTTCTTGCCGTTTGTTCAAACAAAAATTAGACTATTTACTTGGTATAACGATAGAGTACTTGGTCTTAATAAAAGAAACGTATACGTAAAAACGTAAACGTAAATAACTTAAGAAACGTACATAATTATAGTTTTTTTATTTTGAATATTTGCTGTAAATAATAATTGAAGAATATTTTTCAACGTGGAACAAAATTAATCAAAATATCAGCATGATTTACTGGAAAAGGACGCGATACCAGAGATAACCGCTTTGTGAATAATGTTAACTTTGTTCGCAGCTAACGATGCCAAGAAGACTGCGATTGATGCCTTTGATGAAGAGTTTTTAAAAGCAGAAAAGGCTATCGATGGCAAAGTGCAAGATGTTACAAATGCAGCTGATGCCAAATTAAAACAAGCAGGAGAGACACTGGATGGTACATTGAAAAATGTCGGACAAGCAATGGACATACAGTTGATCAAACTACCGGCTTTGTCGACAACACGTTGAAACAAGCCGAGAGCGCTATCGATAATACGATGCACGCTGCGAGCAGCGCAGTGGATTCAAAAATAAAAGAAGCTGATCAGTTTATCGATGGAAACGAGAACAAATTGGAAAAACTGTAGCCGACGCCGCTGGAAAAATTCACGGAGCTACAGATAATGCAGCTTCTGGTGCTCAAGGCCTTCTTGGAAAAGCAACTGCAGGCTTATTTAAATAGCTTGCTTAATTTATCTTGCTAAATTTTATGTCTATTTTAAATGAAATATGCAGATTTGCTGATAATTATAGCTCTCTGAGTTTGTCGGAGAATGGATTTATTATTAGTCAATGAATGTGTGATTTGAAGCTTCAAACTAATAATTTTTCAAACAATAGCATTACAATATCTTTGTGTTTTCAATAGGTGTGAACACGATTGCTATAATATTGTTGAATTTTCATTGCATGTTCCATGAATATAAATCGCACAATTACCTGAGTGGTTACTTATGCCTTAAATCTTGTGTTATTAAATTTAATGTAAGATATTCAATAAATATAAATGTTATAAGTAAGTTAAAAGTATATTAACGAAAAACACCTTTTTATTTTAATCCTATTCATATACCCGTGTTTATTAGTTATATAGAAATATTGATTTGCATACTTAGAAAATTTAATAATTTGTTCATAATTTTAGAAGAATGTGTGGACTGAATTTATAAATATGAAAACTATGCAACAGACATTAATATCCATGCATTTATCACTTGTTCGTAAAGTTCTAAGTGATTTTAAAAGCAAAACATAATCTCTACATGTACTTCATATATTTTGGAAACTTTAAAGACCTTGCTTTTCAAAACTCGTTTTATATTTCTCACTCATTAAAATAGCATAATTAATTAGTGTAAAAATACACTCTTTTAATCCAAAAAGGATATTTTGATATATACAAATATGATAAATCATGCTTAATGATAATATTTTTCCTTTCAGCATTAACTGTAATTACACTTTCTTCACAATTTGCACTACATCTTCATCACAAAGCACATGATCCTTTCCGACTTTTTGCGGTTGATGTTTAACAGATGACCCCCAAACTAATGCACTAAAAGTGAAATTGAGTGATGATAATTTTTTTAAGGTTGGTTATCAATCAATACAGCTATTATATTATCAAAAATACGAATGTATAATACTAGAATATTATATCTATTATGAATATTATATCTATATATATATTATATATATATACACATATATAACATTGAACGTTTCTTTAATAATACTTACTATTTGAACTCTTTAGCAATGGTTCTGTGCAACTTGTTGCAGAAATCCTCAACACTTGTTCGATCACTATGTAGTACTATAGGCGAGTTATAATCTGGCAGTTGTCCTTTTGGCTTTGTATAACTAAAGGTTGTTAAAGTCTTAGATTTCATTACCAATAACAAAAAAAAAATTATAAGTAGACACTTACATGCGAACCAATTTTAAATATTCCCACATTTTCTCAAGCAGATCATCAAAATTCCAACGATGATGTGCAGAAATAGGAACACAATGGGGAATTTTATAAATAACATCTAATTCCTCAATGCTTATTTGATCTATGTAAATATTTAACATAATAGGTAAATTTTCTAATTAAAAAGAGAATTTACATTTATATGTTCAAATATACCTATTTTGTTTAATAAATATATGCAAGGGACATATATGCGATTTCCCTCAATAACATCTATAAGATCATCGCTGGTAGCATCGTAACGTAGAGTGATATCAGCATTATGAATTTTGTATTCTGACAAAATAGTTCTCACAGTTTCTAAGTCTAATTCTGATTGTGGACACTGAAAAAAAAGAAAAACAAAACAATTTATATAAAACTAATATGTTAAGTCAGGCAGTAATAACTTTCATAGCATGTTTAATATTATATCCTTACAGTCACATTCAGATTAATTCCTCCTTTATCCTTTTTCCTGTAGTGAATATTAGGTGGTTGTTTATTGAGTCTTAAGCCAAATCCTTCCAATTCATGTTCAAGAAGTTTTTTATGTTGCAATGGTTTTAACACATCCAGCACAATGAAAATCAAACCACATGTACGTGCTACAGCGATTACTTGACGACCACGACCCTTGCCATCTTTAGCACCTTCAATAATTCCAGGTAAATCCAATAACTAAAATAATTTATAAAACGATTGATTCATTGATTAATCGTTGTTGGTTGGAAACTGCAAATAATATTCTTAAGCAATATCACTTATTTAGTCAAAGTGTTTTCGTTAAAGATTTATTCTGATTATATTATAGTGTATTGCATTGAAGAAATTGTTAAATTATGAATACTGTACCAATTTACATGGTCTCATACCATAAACCATAACTCACTTGAATTTTAGCACCTTTGTATTTAATACAACCTGGGACAGTTGTTAAAGTGGTAAATTCATAAGCTGCCACTTCTGAATAAACTCCTGCTAAAGTTGATAAAAGTGTAGACTTCCCCACTGAAGGAAATCCAACAAATCCTATTCTTGCATCTCCAGTTTTAGCGACATCAAAACCTAATGAAATTACAAATAGTACAAATGATAAAAAAAATGTTTTACATAAAATATTGCTATAGTATACATCAGGATGATAACAAAATCTGTAGTTTTGAGTTCATTAAGTCTCTGAATACACTGATTTGTATATACCTTCACCAGCTGCTCCGCCACCTCCTTTGGGGGTAATTAGCTCGCGTCTTAATTTGGCGAGTTTAGCTTTCAATAACCCTAAGTGACCAGATGTTGCTTTATTTTTTTGGGTACGTGCCATCTAAAATTATCAATAAACATTTTTTTTCCTTGACTTTTGCATAGTTATAGATAACCTAAAAATACCTCAGCCTCTATAGCTGCTATCTTTTCCAATATAGTACTCATCTTGAAATAAACTTTGAAATAGAATTTGGAAAATAGTTATGAATTATAAGTGTAATAAAGTATATTAATATATTAGATAGTAGAATTTGAAAAATATACAGCCGCTTTTCTACGTTGGCAAAAGTTTATGCATGTGCTTTTTGTCCAATTTCACTTTGACAGTTCGTATTGTATCATATCACCGTGGCATAGAACAGATATTATGTAGACGGAAATAATTAAGAGCAACACACAGAAACACAGAAATCAAAGATAAAGATAGTCTCCGCGCGAAGCGCGAATTCGAATCAAGATTTATGCAAAAACTGCATTTGCGGGAAATTCACACACTCTCGAACAATTTACAACCATTTCAGACAGTTTACATTTTTTTATATTATTTCTGGAAAGTATAAACCATTTAAACTATTATCATATATTATCCATGACTGCATATGAATAATCAAATTAAAGTCCTCAAATCCCATACTTTGATTCGATTTTTTTTATATAATAGGAATGAATAATTAAATTTTAAATGCTATATTTATGGCTATATTTTCAAATCAAATTCAGAAAACAAGCGTAATTTGCTCATCATTTGCTTCAAGATAAGAACTCAAAACATAATTATTGCATAAAAAGAAACTATTCTCTTCCGCCTGATTAGTTATAATTTAGCATTTTAAATTGACCAACTGTACAGAAGTTGTCAATTTGTTTAATTTTTAATTCGTGTTTCATTTCTTAAGTTGTTATTTGTTCTATTTCAAAAATTCTTGTTTACGAAGTACGAGAAGAGACAGCCATCTTGTTTTCTCTTTCATCTTTGTTATTAACCCAGTTTCTGATTATGAGAACAAGCTGTATACAATAATACAATAATACGATATAAATTGTGAGTGTGAATATGTGAGCATTGCTTATTCATAGAGTTATGGGAAACCAAATACATTTATAAACAAAGATTAAATTTTATTGGTTTTAAAGTGTCGAAAGCAAGTGTAAGTTTTATTTTTGTCTCTTAGGTTATATGATTTTTTTTAAGAATATAGAACTATTTGATAATGTAAGACATTTATTAATATGTTAGCAATGCATCGATAATGGAATAGTATTTTAGGGCTTCAAACTTTATACTATCTTTAATTCCAAAAACGAGCTTATGGATAATGACAATGCTGAGCAATAAGTTCTATTAAATTAAGCACCGTTAAGATATTTTACAATGACAAAATTCGCTCTGTATTATTTAATTTTAGAAGTGTTTTTCTGTTTGTGCATTCAAAATGTTTATAGTAAAGCAGCAATTGATGACAATAGACAATCCTTTCAAGGCTCTATGTTTTGTGAGTATTACAATGAAAAATGTAACAATCCAGATGATCACAGTATAGACCAAGAAAAGTGCAAAATTGACTCTGAAGAATGTGTTTATACAGAGGGTATAAAACATTTTCAATGTTTTGTTTTATGGAAGTTGACAATGCTACCAAGCAGCCTATAATTCATATGAAAGGATGCTTTTCCAGTGGTGAAGACTGCTACAAAAAAAATGAATGTGTTGCTAAAGCACATGAGACTAGAAATGGTTATTTGTTTTGTTGCTGTGAAGGTGACTATTGCAATAAAAGATTTGAATCTCGTAAAGAACTTTCTACTGAACGGCCAGTAGTCAATCATCCTGCAACTAAACCTGGTCATACAGTATTTCATATATTATTATTCACATGCCTAGCTCTGCTTTTAGCTTTTGGCATTATATTTGTGGTCTATTATTTTTTGAAAACATGCAAGGTTAATTACCATGAGTCTCCAACACAAGCTTTACTTCCTACAATACCTCAGTCACCGACTGAAGATCTCGGCCATATTCAATTGCTAGAGGTAAAAGCTTCAGGTCGTTTTGGATCAGTTTGGCGTGCAAAACGTAATGACGATGAAGTTGCTGTTAAAATTTTTCCAGTTCAGGATCAACAATCCTGAGCAGGAATATTCAAACTTCCAAATATGTGTCATCCTGATATACTTGAATACATTGGTGTAGAGAAGCGAGGTGATCACCTTCACACAGAATTTTGGCTTGTGACAGCATACCATCATCGAGGATCATTATGCGATTATCTGAAAGCTCATACTGTGACTTGGAATGAAATGGGCCGCATAGCAGAATCTATGGCAAGAGGATTAACTCACTTGCATGATGTAATTCCAGGACCAAAAGGAATGGAAATAAAACCTGCTGTTGCTCATCGTGATTTCAAGAGTAAGAATGTTCTCTTGAAAGCTGATATGAGCGCTTGTATTGCTGATTTTGGATTGGCCCTCATATTTCAACCAGGAAAGGCCTGTGGTGATACACATGGACAAGTTGGAACTCGTCGTTACATGGCTCCTGAGGTATTAGAAGGAGCCATAAATTTCACATTGGATGCATTTTTGAGAATCGATATGTATGCATGTGGTTTAGTTCTTTGGGAATTAGCTTCCAGATGCTCTGACCAAGGAATTCCTTGTCCAGAGTACAAATTACCATTTGAAGCAGAAGTTGGTACACATCCAACATTAGAAGAGATGCAGGAAGCAGTTGTAACAAAGAAAGTACGACCAGCAATTTTAGATCAGTGGAAACAACATCCAGGTTTAGCAACCATGTGCAACACTATGGAAGAGTGCTGGGATCATGATGCTGAAGCACGCTTATCTGCCAGTTGTGTTATGGAACGTGTCAGTCATTTGATGCGTTATGACGTACAGCAAAGTGAGGGTCTCATATTAGAGACTAATCCGAAAGTATCTTTGTGATTGAGTTAATGGATATTTACAGTGTTAAATATTTAAATGCATAATGAAATAATTTTATAGAAACAAACAGATTTTTGTGTTATAAATGATGTGTGTATGTGTGTGCATATTCTTGCATGTTTGTTTTGTGTATGTGCATTTGATTACAATGTATGTATTTAAAGTTTGTGAAAAGAATGGGTAATTTTATAAATGTATAAATGTGACATTAGTAAAATGAAAAAAAAAATTACTTATTGTAAGACTTGTTGGAACAAAATGCTCTAATAAATATGTGACAACTATTTTGTAAGAGCTTTACTAATAGCTAAATCTTCACAATATGATGAAATGAGATAAAGTTCATAAAATCAAAGAAAATCTTCAGTTTGAATGCTGATATTAAAGGAATTAAAAATGTTGGAAATAACTGTTTTTTATATGTTTGAGCTACTGAATGATTACACATAGTGTTCAAAACATACAATAAATAATCCCATGATCTTTGATATTTATTTTTTCTTTTGATGAATTGACGACAAATATTTTCTAACAATATGTTTCAATGCTGGATAATCCAATCTTCATATAATATATTTGTGTTAGTAAATTTGTTTTAAACGGATAATTTGAACCTTCTGTAAATTCATAATACTTTAATATGAATGTGTATATATATAATACTAATAATATTTTATAAATAATGATATAAATAAATATATTACAAATTTAACTGTAAAATGACAACTTTTTAAAAATTTATTGTTTGTCAATAATAAGTCACATGATAATATTGCTGATTTTGTTGATTTGCCAAAAAATTAAAAATAGTTTTTCAGTGTACTCTTATATTTATTAAGAACATAAATAGATTTTTATAATACATTTTTTTTATAAATTAAATATTATAATTATAATATAAAATCTATTTAATTGCAATATGATTATGTATATTATAATTATGTATATATTACACTACAATAATGAGCATAATAGTACTGCTGAGTTCTATAATGTGCTTCTGAATTCCCCAAATAAAAAGAGATAAAATGATATAAGTAATTTAATATTAAACGTTATCTTCAATTATAATATAATAGCCATAAAATTAATGCATGTTATACAAAAGAGATTTTTTATGCCTTTTAATTGTTGAATTAAATTATTTTTATAAACTTATTTGTGAAAACAAAAATTGAATTATTATAATATGAAAAAAAAATAGCAAGAAAAATGAAATTAAATATTCTAATGTATAGTTGAACATTAAAAAGCATGGAAATATAAAATATGATAGCAAGATTCTCATTAAGTTTTTGAGACTGACATTTGTAAAGTTTATATATTTGCTTTTATAATATTGTATTTTATACTTGCATTTTTAATTTTATGTATGCAATATTTATTCAAAAATATATATATTATGACTTTTCTTTAACTATTTCTTTATAAATCCGTATTTTCATATAATGATTATATGGTGAATTTCTTCCCTTCATAGTACTTTTATTTACTTCTTTTTAATATTGACTGACTTTAATTTTAATATAATCCAAAAGTGTGTTCTTTACAAATCTTTTATCAAATAAAGAAAATTATTTCAAACAAACTCGAATACCTTTGTAATGTTTATTTTAACGACATAAAATTATATTTGAAACGAATTGCAAAAAAAAAAAATTTAAAAAAAATAACTTCGGATTATTGGACGAACATAATTTTTATAACTAACTTTTATTTACTTCTTTTTAAATATTGACTGACTTTAATTTTAATATAATCGAAAGTGTAGCCTTTCACGAATCGTTTATCAAATAAAGAAAATTATTTCAAACAAACTCGAATACCTTTGTAATGTTTATTTTAACGACATAAAATTATATTTGAAACGAATTGCAAAAAAAAAAAAATTAAAAAAAAATAACTTCGGATTATTGGATGAACATAATTTTTATAACTAACAGATGAGTGCAAAATTTATTTTGTTCCCACATTTTAGTCAAAAATCATCTCCAATTTTAAAATTTCAAAAATTATACGAAAGATATTAGTTGAAAATCGTGCTGATTAGTTTTTGTTGAAGATTGGCCGGACCGTTTCTTTGTTCTGAATTTTTTTATCATTTAGTGGAACTTTGAAATAGAAAATAAGAACAAAAAACAAATAAAGAAGAGCTATGGAGGGTGTGAGAAGTAAGAACTTTACTAAGGAAATTAAAGGAAACTGGATCGGATTCATATTGAAGAAATAGAGAAATAGAAGAACTGAGAAGACTTTGAAGAAGAAGAATGTAGATGATTGACAATGCCGGGGATTTAACAACCGGAAGACGTGGAGGTGGAAATTTGGAAATGCGAATAATAAGTAACAAATAATCAAGGGTGCTTTCACACCAGGAATTTTGCAGATCATTAAATTATATATATATATATATATATATATATATATATATAATATGTGTAATATGTGTGTGTATATATGCACGTAAAATTAGCAAGTAAATTAATCCAATAGAATTCGTACGATCGAAATCTACGGCAAAGAAAATCTCACCTTTGATTCGATTTCCGTACAAAAATAGTTCGAATGTATTCCGGACAAATACATTTGACCTTTTTATGATTATTTCATTCGGGTCTCGCTAGGAAAGGGCAGTGCCCATGAGAAATAGTTGGTTCTGCAGTTTATTTCGAACTAAAGGTACAATTTCACAGATGAATAGTTGTAGTAACCTGATTTTTCTGGATTTTCTTAAAAATACAAACTAACATACTATTTATTTACAATTACAAATAAAGTTATATGAATAAATGTATTGTGTATTTGTTATTCTGATATTGAAAATTGTTATGAAAAATAATATGCGTTTCAAAAATATTAAACTTTAACTAATTGTTAAAATTATAAAAGTTGATAAATAGTGATATGTGCTTTTTGTTTGACTCGCACGTGAATAATTTCTGTTTTTCAATTCTATTGTTTTTGAAATATATTTCACACATTGACGTTAGGGTTTTATAGTTCATACTTTAAATTTAATTTTTTTTAACTTGCCGAATGAATTGGATTTTGCGAAAATATCCAACAAAAAAAAATTCACGAAAATAATTTTATGTTTCCTCGATGTTTCAAGTAAATTTGAATCGTTTGAGATTTGGAAAATATGTGTGCTTTTATGTATAAATAAATGTGTAGTGTGTGAGCTGATTTTCGACATTTGCCTATTAAAATTTTGGATTCAACAATCACACACACACACACACACACACACACACATATATATATATATATATATACTTCGTTTTTTCAAAAAAATATTTATTTATTCGTCTACATTAATGTGGTCCCCTTCAAAGTAGTCCCCCCCAGATATAATACACTTATGCCAGCGTTTTTTCCAATTTTCGAAGCACCCTTGATATTCACTTTTTGATATGTCCTTGAGCACTCTCAGCGATTTTCTTCAATCGAGGAAAACCGCCGTCCTTTCATGGGTCTCTTCAACTTTGGGAATAGGAAAAAGTCACACGGAGCCATATCTGGTGAATTTTTGCACTTTGCAACACTTTATTTCATTTTTTACGCAAAATTTAATACAAATTCTTTGACTTTTCAATTCTTCCATTGTAAAAATCGCCGAGCTCAGAAAAACACGTCGAACCTTAGCGACTACCACAGACAAAGTAAACAGTGAATATAGCTGAAAATTTCATCATACTTTAGGGGCATGTATACCAACACAATAAAAAAAAATTTTGACAATCAGACACTCCAGACCCGCGAAATTTAATTATTAGTAATTCCGGGTACTTTTTGAACACACCTCGTATATATAATTTATATATATATATATATATATATATATATATATACATATATATACATATATTCTTGCTTAAAGAATTATCTCTTCAATACTATGCAAGAAATCATCAAACTTTGCCAATTAGAGGATCACGATAATTAATCATTGCATTTGATACAAACTTTATATAATCTCGAAACTTTGTAATACTTTAAAGTGTCGTCATTCAATCCTTTGTTTACTTCAAAATTAATTATCAATTCGCTCTTCTCGCGGGAAATCTTTAATTGTCTATAATCTGCAAAATGGCTGAGCAAACGATATTAATAATTTAATACCTAGTTTGTTAGATTATTATTTATAGCTTATTTGTTAATTATAATTTATAAAATTTACGTTTTCTATATTACTGTCAAAATGAGTGGAAGCTTTCCTGCGATGACTGATGAATTGTTTTTATTGAAATTTGTAGAATTTTTTTTTTAGGATTAGTGAGCAAACCAGAATAGTTTCCTTCTAGCTGCCAAAATCCTGGCTTGGCGCCCTTGTTCATTAATAATGTACCATTCCTGTAATCTTTTCATTGATTTTCATTTGTGTAGATGTAGGTAATAAACAGCACATTCAAACTATACCAATTATACAAATGGACTCTATTCCACCTTGTAGAAACGATCCTTTCCCGCATAATCGAGTTGAGCTTGTATACATTGTGAGAAACCTAGTAAACTTGTACTATTTGCTTTGAAAGCGCCGTGTGATCAACACGAGTCAAAATGATCAAATCGGATTACCTTTTATGATGTGAATTTTGGATGTTGGAAAACCATTATCCGTTGTTATTAATTTTAAGTGAAAGGTAGACAAAATATATCTTTTCTGACACATTTTTTTAATGAAACATGAGCAGTTCATCATTTATCACGAATAACTTAGTATTTAGCCTTTGTTTTAGAAAATAGAGATGTAATATAAATTTTGTTAAATAAAATCAATTTCACACTTGATTCTCATTATGATTTATGTATAAAATAATTAAATTAATTTTACGCAATTATATTCATTGTTATAATTATAAAGTGGATTTAGATATATGGTTTACCGTGCTCAGATTTCTTATTTTACAACTTATCGGTTAGTTGTGTCTAATATAGAATATTAGATTCTGAACGCTTATAGATATTTTCATTATTTTTATCCCAAAAGTTAAAAAATAATTAATAGAATGTTCATGCACGATTACAATTTTTTTTTTAACTTCCCGAAGGAGAAGTTTGTTTTCGTCAAAAAGTCCGATTCGCTAAT